TATTTATAGATCAATTTTAAATTTTCGAAAAGGTACATTAGTAGAAATTGGATTAAAAAATCCATTGCACAGAAATAAAATATCTTAATAAATAATTGAGTTAACAGGGGCAGAATATTTAAAATTTGTGGCCAAACAAACTTTGGCCATTTTTCGGTCCACTCAAATCTATACTATAACAGGTAACCGATAGAGCCCGTCCTTTTAAACCCCTCATAAATAATCCGACAATAAAATTTTATGAGAGTGTCCACCCTCTGAAGTTTTCTAAACTGAAATTCTACTTAAAGTTTGTCTAGAATTATAAGAATTTGATGGACTCCCAAAGTTAATTCGTTTTACAGCCCTGTTGTCAATTTTATTGTACAGCTGAAGAGCGTGACAAACTCAGGTACAGAAAACATCGGCTTTCTCCTGACAGGCTCTTTACCTGTACAATAGAATTAACGACAGGGATGTAAAACCAATTAACGTTGGGAGTCCATAAAATTCTTATAATTCTGGACAAACTTTACAAATAATTTGAAAATATCGAGGAATGGCGGTGAAACAAGTAACTGAATTTTCCAAAATCAAAACAAAACCACAAATATACTCATAAATATACAGAATAAAATGACAGTTCACAAAAAATTTTTCTGAAAAATAATTTGTTTGGGTAAAATGGTAACAGTATACTAATACTATCAGTTATACGACCATTATTATATAGTACAAAAAAGATTGTATTTAGATGTCTATAATAGCATATATTAAGTATTTGACATCTGTCATCAGTTTAAAGAGACTTTAAAGTTGGCATCACTTTTAAAGCTATAATAAATACCAGTACATTAGCACTGGTGAAAATTAGTGGTTCCACGTCAAATCGTATAGCGATAAGTAATTTGTTACAGTCATCAAGAACCACTTCGGATTTGAAAATGTTACGCAGATAATTATCATCCTTTACTGAAAAAAATCATATTTCATTGATGAACTTTGCGGATTTCTGCTTTATTACTCTTTAAAATACATCTCGGTATTAAATCTTATCATTTTGATAGCTATGAAAAATTTTAACGATAAACTTCATAGTCATAACTTATATGAGCGTATATACGTTAAATTCTAGAGATAATAAAACTGAACGCTGAAAGCTTGGAAAGTAAAACTATGAAAACCGCTGATTTGCTAAAATTAGAAATTTCTAATTTCTGTGTTACACATATAGTGACTTGCCAAAACTGAACCACCCTTGATAAAAAAACTCCTTTCTCTCCAAAAAAAACCCTGTTATCAGATTGTTAGGAAGCAATAATTGTTTAGTATGGTGCCTGTAAGTGAAGCTATAAATTTTGTTAGGGTCTTAAATTGAATGCCCACATAAGTAGAAGAGTATATCACGCTTTACATTTAAAGTAAGACTTAGAACAACATTTTAATGTGTTATGAAAGGATGAAAAATATTTAATAATTTTATTATAGCATTATACCAACTTCATAACAATTTTTATTATAAGTTTCTACTCTTATTTGTCTTTAGTTTTCCACCATATTGTTAGAACGTCAAAAGGGAACAAAATAACAACAAATAGCTCAAGTATTTCATGAATATAATTAGTAAATTTATGACACTGTTGTGTAAATAATATTAAAAACAGTATAATCTGCATATAGTGTTAATTTATGCTAAGTCATTTGTCACTGACATTTTTTAAACAAATCTCGTTTAATCAAAACAAACACTGACCCGTTATACGACACCGCTATTACGAAAGATTTATTTATTTATTTATTTTTTCTTTCTAGATTTCTCAAACCAGTGAACAAAACATCTCACACCGATCGTCAAACTTAGAATTTGAGCGTTGTGAAGATGTGTCTGGGTTTCTCAGTACGCTTTACTCACTTCCACCACAGGAGGCCTTCCAACAACTAATCTCACCATTAGGTTGCAACAGCTGTCCAATAGAAGCCAAGTCCATTCGTCACAAGTTAATTGTACTGGTGGCAAATGGAGCTCTGGACGTCGGAAATATTTTGGCAAATCTGAAGAATGCTAATCTTCTGAATCGAAACGATGTGTTGATATCGACGTTAATGATAATTAACGAAACGCCTGGTGCGGAAAATTCTCTGAAAGCTGACATTAGCGATGCACTTTTTTACTTTCTCAGGAAGCGATATTTAGGACGAAGTCATTTTGGATCGGCAAGGAATGGATTTTGTGAATACAGACGTTTTTCAACGGCACCCAATAACTGGTACAGGAAAGGTTTTCCACAACCGAAAACAAATTTAGTACCGTTCAGTTCGTGGCCAAATGGTAATGGTGGTTTCTACCCTAAGCTTCGACCAAGCACGAAATACGCCACTCCGAACTCTGTTGCAATCCCTAGCCAAAGAGCACGCTGTGAAATGAAGATGATTGATGCGTTGTTCAAAAGAGTGATCGATTTAGAAATTCAACGTAAATTCTCCACGCAAGGGTTAAATACCGGAGGAATTCAACAAAGACCCGTACCAAGAGTGATACCAGGAATTGGGGTACCAAGAATGATACCAGGAAATGGGGTTCCAATTGCTCCTAAATCTTTACGCTACAATGGGTCGCCAAGTACTTATAACCCTAAATCAAGTCCTGTATGCAGTGTGAAAAAATATACCTCTCTATTGCCTAATTATATAAAATCCGCTACAAGCCCAATACCGTTTGGACAATCTCCTCAAGGACTGGTCGGTTATAGACCAAATTTAGTTGTAACACCACGACCTCAACCGGGGGGACTTCACAATTTACCAACACGTGTAATACAACCTGCCTTTGGCGTACCCAGAGGTTATGTACCGAATTTGAAACCTCTGCCATCACAACCTCAGCCAGAGGGCCCCTACAATTTTCCAAAAAGTCCAATAGGATTTTCTAAAACGCCAGCATTTGGAAAACCTTTTCAAGGGCTGCCACTTGAAGGACAAAGACCATTGCAACCTGCAACAATTATTGGAAATTATAACAAACCACTCTCTATGCTTCCCTATCAAGGGCAAAATGTACCAAATTTTAAACAACCTCAGCTACATACAGTGAGACAACCAGAAGGCCCTGGAATTAACAATCTGTTACCTGGGCCAAAAGCAGCAGTACCAATTCAACCTGGTGTAGTAACCAATCCACAAGAAACAGAAAAAGCCAGAATAAACCGTATACAGAATCTGATAAATTTAGTACCAGCACCTACATATCCAAAGGAGAAGCAAATGTATGACGAACTAAAAGAACTGCTAAGAAGTCCACAAGTCCAAGAACTCGCAAAAAATATCAATATCACTGATAAACAGACGGATCAAGAAGTATTTGATATAATAATAACGACGATTTTAAAAACTGTCCATACCGAGACAATAACAGAAGTATTTGAATTTTATTCACATTATAAAGAAGCAGAACAGTCACATTTTAACTATGCCGTATTAATGGATGCATTGCCACACCCACAAAACCCCAAAGAACAGGGGCTCTATGACATACTAAAAACATTTTTAATGGGTAAGAGTGTCTATCAAATTCCACAAAGCGACAGTTTTAAAACAGCTCCCAGTTTGAGTGCTAAATTAATAATACTTTTCGAGACGTTAGCTCAGCCAGGAGGCTCACTCTATCCAGAAGTGCAACATGCTGTTACTTATTATTTGCCTATAGTCAGAGGAAAAACAGCAGATATTCAGTTTGTTGACATGATTTCTTCACTGCCGACACCTACAAGTGAAGAGGAAGTAAATTCGTACAACATATTAAAGGACATTTTGTCCAGTAATAACATCTACGTTCTACTGCAAAACGTTGATCTTAAAAACCTCTCTCCGGACCAACAATTAACGACGGTATTGAATTATTTAATCACCCAGCCCCAAAATCCACCGTTATCAAGTGCCGCCAACGTGTACAGAGACTTACTGGTAACTAAAAAATATGGTTTCTCCTATTTTGCACTTTTACAATTATTGCCTGCTCAGGAAAATGCCACATTTATTGAAATTCTGAGAAACTACTTTACAACTCCGGAATTTGAAACAATTGTGTCAAAACTGCAGATAGCAAATTTATCAGATAGAGATAAACTATTACATATTCTCGAAGCGATTAAAGTAAATTCTACCAATCCAACTGTTGTACAAACTGTTACCACCCTTTACCAGAATTTCCAAGCTTACATATTCCATCAAAATATAAACAGTGTTATTAGTTTAATTCCATTGCCGAAAACCGAGGCCGAAAAGAATGTCTATACAATTGTTCAAAGCTTCTTACTAAGTGAAAAATCATACGAACTTCTACATCATATCGATTTTACTATTTTCCCCAATAATAAACTTCTTCTAGAATTTGTAATGAAAGCAGTTGTTGACAGTGCCGTGGAAGCCAATATAAAGGACGCTTTCGAATACTACATCGATTTGACTGAAAGACTAGAGTCACTCGAGTTTGTAACAAGGAAAGAAATCAGGAAGAACTTCAAACTTACTGAAATCTTGACCGATACTTTAGATTTGAAATCGTTAACGTTTGAACAAAAACACGCATTTAAGACATTCTTCAAATACATCTCTCAACTCAAAGGAGAAACCATGACCAACTTTGACTCATGGGATCAAGCGAAAACTCGAGGAGAATTTATGAAAATTTTGTTTGCATATTTAATAAAGACACCTACAACACCTCCAGAGATTAAAGAAAGCATACAAGTTTTAGATTCCTTGGTAAAAATGGATGGTAAAGCAGCTCTTCCACCATAACTATTTAATGTAGACTTAATATTTACAAAGCTTATGTAACTAAAGATGTGTACAGAGTAATCCACGGTTTTGGACGCAGAACCATGACACAGTAAAACGAATTTTGTTTTATTCTTTACTAGAAGTTTTGTAATGAACAGAAACACAAACATCGTTTAACTGTGTTGTTCTTTGTGGCCAAATCCGTGAATCACCTTGTATGTTACCAAAAGTGAAAAATAGACTATGCCTTACCATTTTTTATTTAATTTATAAGTACAAATATTATAATAAAAAAATTATACAACACGACATTTTCCAAGCACTTATAGCCGTTTTCTGAATCGTATCCGAACCCCGTTAGAAGAAATGAGAATCGTTTGAGACGCCAACTTCAACTCATGTGATGGAATCGATGGCAAAAGTTCAAAACTCCTCAAAATTCTGGACACAACGCTTTTCATTTCCGCCATTGCAAACCTTTGCCCTGAAAATTTTCAAATTAGCACAAATTTATAACAAAATCTTGCTCCCACCTATACAATTCCTGGCGCCGGCACTAAAAGGTAAAAATGCAAAAGGCATTTTACCATCGTAGTTTTGAAATCGACTCGGCAAAAATCTCTCTGGTTCTGGGAAATAATTCGGGTTTCTGTGAAGGGCGTAGGAAAATAGAGTGAGAGTGAGGCCTTTAGGTAAAACCGTTCCTTCATACAGTACGTCATGGTCCAGTTCTCTGGAGTAGAAGGGAGCAGGAGGATAAAGTCTTAAAGATTCTTTTATTGCCATCTCGAGGTATTTCATATTTTTTAAGTCTTGAAAAGTTGGAGGACGTTCAAAATTATCCCCAAAGAGCTGCTTTTGTTCCATGAATACTTTAGCCTATGAGTGGGACAAATGATAAGTGATAACAGTGAAATTGAATTTACCTGTTCTTCAGCATTATTTGCTAGACAAAACAAAATAAAAGCTATTCCAGTACCCGTCGTGTCGTGACCCTAGAAATTCATTTTTGGCTATGTTTAACTGACAATTGTTTAAAGTTACCGCAAACATAAACGTGTCGACTTCTTCACGAATTTCTTCAAGAGTTAATTGTTCGCCATTACTATTAGCTTCTAAAAGAAGATCGAGAAAAGCCTTCCGTTTTTGATACCCTGCATGATTTTCATTTTTTTCCGATTTCAAAAACTCTTGGCGACGTTTAATAACATTCCACGTGTATGAATGGATGACTTTGAGGGCCTTCTTCTCCTTTCTGTAGTCTTCAGTGAAAAAGTAAGTCCAGTCGGTCATTTTAATTGGTGAGAAAACCCGTGCTATTACAATATCCAGCATATTTTTAACACTCTGAACATATTCTGAGTCAGAATTTAATTGTGCGTTTACTGACGTTCCCATTGCACTTTCTGGACACAAAGGATCAATAATATTTTAACTAGTCTTGATTTCATTAATCTTACCACATATGATATCCAAAGTACATAAGTTAACTAAATCAAAAATATCCACAGATGTACTATCTGAACAAGACTCGAACTTTTTAACCAATATTTTTGCATTTGATTCAAAAATGTCAACAAAATCCTCCAAAATTTTGTAATGGAACGTCGGCGTAATAATTTGGCGATGTCTTTTCCATTTGGCGCCACTTGAAGTTATGAGCCCTGTTCCCAACCAATTATGAAAATATCTGTACTCCACAGACTTTTTTAAAATTTTCATATTAGTAAGAACAAATTGAAAAAAGTTGTAATTGGAAATGAGAAGTAGTTGTCGATGAGGGCCCGTTTTGACGCGAACTATGTCTCCATAATTTCTTGTGTAATGCATTAAAACATCCAAAAATCCTAAAAAGATTTTGATTGAAATTTTTTAATTGGCACTTTTTTTAATTTTAAATGACAAAACAGTCAAAAAATTAATGATTTGTTAGGATGTAAATATTATTGTAGTTTAATCTATCAAACCAAAATACGTACCTTTATCGGTAAATGCAAAATCTAAAGCGTGACCCAAAATGGGAATATCTGGCGGCGAGGGAAAACATTTAAGATGTTTTTCGAAAATGTAAACATGTTTGTAATAAATATACACGAGAAAATACAACACACACACAAGTGCTAAAAACAATAATATCATTCTTTTATTACGATGTGTTTCACCGTGCACTTTAAACTGAACGCTTTACACAATTACTCACTGCAGCCGTTTTTTATAAACGAGATTAAAAGTGGAACGAAAGAGATAACGATTATCGCAAATTTGCAATAAGATTTGCAAGATGCATTTTTTCTTGGTACGGCTGTACAGAATTTCGAACAAGGTCATGGTAAAGTTTAAATCTGATATTGAAGGTCAAGCCAACTAAATATTTGCACTGTATGTCTCCACGTGTAGCCAATTTTAAATTAACACTTGCATAAATAAATTTATGGTACAGTGGAAAGCGGCCAGTCGAGATGACGCGAGCCAGAAGGATCATTCTTACGGTGATTGTCAGTGGGTTATCAAGCACACAAGAATATTATTGTGTAATATTTGTAATTCCATGAAAAAGTAGCACTCGCTTTCGAAAACAAAAAAATATGCATCTGGGACAAGTGTGGCACTTTGGAAAACAAGTCAAGAGGAAGACGTTAGAAGCGAGCTTTGTTAAAAAAGTGACACAATAGTTTTCCTTTCGTGATTTTTGTGAACTAGTTTCATATCGCTGTTTATCTGTTTAAGATCATTTTGAAAATTTGAGGTGGCTGTCCAAGTTAAAGTTGATGACAATATAATATAAATTATTTGAAAATGTGCAAATAAATTGTATAAAAATAATCTACACGTGTCGATGTTTTGTAAATCTGATATCTTTATGAAAGTGTAGCTGTGCATAAGATAAAGTAATCTGTAAATACTTTAACCGGTAATGTAATAACATACTTAATCTAAAGGTTATGCATTCACGTTCGGTGTCATTCATCCGCACTGCGTGTACAAACATTCAGTAGTCGGTAATGAATATTTAGGTCTGAAATATTATTATAGGCAATCGAAACTGGTTGCACGAGAAAGTACGACAACAATAACGAGTTTAAATATTTAATCCATTTGTATTTGTAAGTATATAAAGTTATTTCAACATGAGGGCCTATCACGTATTTTACAGTTAATTACCAGTTTTTCTCGCAGTGCTCAAGGAGACTATAAATTACTGTCTTTATTTATTTCTGAATTCTAAGTAATGATTCAGTCGTAATCAGGTCTAAAAATCCACACGTAGCGGAACGGAGGCACGTAGTATAGCACCGAATTACCTACTGATATTTAAAAATATGTAAAATACCTGTCTGTCTCTCATTTATCTGTCATTTTCACGTTCTAACACAATCTAACAACAATAAATGTAGATGTTAATATATTATACATGGCGAAAATTCACATATTCAAGCTTAACAAAGTTTTTAAACGAAGGCTGGATGTTCTTTCTATTCATACTTCGTACCTTCTCACTCGAAATTTATAATTTATTTATGGAATTTAAACTAAATCTTAAATGTTGATCCATTTTGAAAGAAAGGACCTCGAAAATTATCATCCATTAAATTGATATCAAAATGGCAGGGGTATTTTGTGTTTATATTGTCTTAACTTTATGTGTTATTTTCTTACAAGCCTCATTATTTTTGCACAACTTGAATTTGGACATTTATTCTCAAATGAGTATTTTGATTTTGATTGCAGTGAATATTGCCCGCTCTGTTTATTTCATAAATACATTGTTTTATGTAATATGGTGGTTCGTGGGTCCACGATGTAATCTTGATGAACTCATTGTGTTTTAATCAATAACGTGAATTAACACATAATTTAATATATTCTTTGTTGTTTAAAGATCTTAATACAGTGTAGCGTAACAAAAATTCATCACAACTTCGGGAGTACAAATTACAATTTAATGCTGTCACCTGTATAAAGAAATGTCTAGGCGGACAGTTTTCTGACTTTTTCTTACTTTAACACATGTCAGGCCTTTTTTAACGAGTTGAAGTTCATCAGTCAAAGGAATATATTTGTTGTAGCTCGTGAATCTTGTAACATAACGAAATTCTGAAAACCCAGAAGAGCTCGATCTCCTTGATGACAGCTATCAATTCCGTAACTGTGATGTGTGCTTTGGACTTCGGATACATATTTTGACTTTGTTCATATTCAATCAATCGTCATAGCTTGTGTATTATCAGTTTATCATCCAGGTACTTTATTTAAGATTTGTCTTTTTTATTAAGTGTTTAGGTGTGTGATGTTCAAATATTTGTATTTAGTTGTAACATTTGACTGCATTTTTTCTTCCCGAGCATAAATTAAGGAAAAGTATAGTAATCGAGTCCATCGGACGAATTGCCACTTTTATGTTTTCTCGACGTTTCATGACGCCTATAATACGAAAAAAGTAGTCTCCCGTTTCCGTCTGTCTGTCTGTCTGCCTGTCTGTATCCATTTTTGTTAGACACGTATTCTCCGAAACTGTTGGGCCGACTGTTGGCAAATTTTGTATGTATATTAGAAATATCACGCAGATGGTTAAATGCTAACCAAAATTTGGCTGATCATACCCACTAACAGTTTGATGACGTCATGAATAGTATTTTAAAATGAATTGAATGTTACACAGAAATATACTCATCTACTTGTAGTGTACGAGTCCGCATTCAGTTTGTGGTGACCGAATTTGAATCAAATTTTCGCGTTGAAATTAATTAACAGCGGTGCGAAATCACATTTGAATAATTTGAATTTGAGAAAGAAAAAAAAATCATCAAAAAAATCGTTAAACATAAGCAACCAAATATGCACGTAACGCTTAGGGGTTACTCCTGCATGTTTAGTTAGAAGGCAGCTTGGTAGGAGAGAGCGGCATGTTAAAAGCGTGAGTCATTATGTTTCGCTTCGGTGTAGTGAAAGGACGCTGTAAGTAACTAGGTTTAAATTAGCTGGTTTGGGAGTTAATAAAAGGGAGGAAACCTTTGTTTAACGACAATCAATCGTACCTAACCGACGGCGCCCAGTTTCCCCAATCCGTGCGGCTTATTCTTGCGGCCTTTTAATCGGAAAAAATGTGGATTTTCGTTCAACGCGAACTACATGGCGTAAATTTGTTTTATTGTTGTAAATTCACAGTTTAGGTTAGGAGTTAATCGTCAGCTAGTGCTAACACAATTTAACAATCAGGAGTATTTAAATAAACCACTTTCTAGGAAATTTCATGAAATTCATTTAGTCAGGATAATCCTTTGTTTAACAAATTATAAATAAGTTTCTGGATGCATATGCGTAAGTGTTACATTATAACACTTCTAAATTCTGTACACAAGATTGCTAATAGTTCATTTACGGCAGCTAACTTAACAAAATTCATTATACTGCGAACTGGCGGGGGGGTTAAAATAATTTCTTCCCTTAGGCAGTTATCATGATTATTATCATCGTTATCATGATTTCATCACTGAGGCATGTCCTCGCAACGTTAAAGGTTGATGAGTGATTACACCACCGAGGTTTATTCCTCGCAACGCTAAAATATACATCATCGAGGTATTTCCTCGCAACGATAAAATTTACATCACCGAGACGCTTTTTCCTCGCAACGATGACTGGATATTTTTGTGTTTATTTATTATGTGTTTTGTTGGGGTAACCAGTCCGCGGTATTTTAAACTCTCAAAGTAAATTGTTTTTAAGTAACCAATCACTTGGATTATGACATAATTTAACAATAATGTAAACTTTTTGTTTGAATCGTTGATAAAGTGTGGCAATGATTAATCTCATGTAAATTTTGTAAACTTTGCGCAATTTTTCACCTCATCCAATATTTCTCTAATCTCATAGTTTTAACCTCAGTAATTTTCCTTTGTTGTATAATTTTCACTGGATGTAAATTTCATGCTCTGCAGTTCTAACCTCACATAATATTTTTATTTGCGCAAGTTTATTTCACACCAGATCTTTTGTTTTTCATAAATCTTTACTAGTTTTGTTTTGTAAATATTTTTTGATGAATGTGTCCATCGTATAAATTATTTGATGTCCAATTTTAATCCCACATAAGAATTATTTGTTGTTTAAAATTTCACAAGATTGTATGGCGAATTTAAATGTTGTTTATTGCTCTTTCGAAACTTTAACACTTGTTCAGTAGTTGTTAATACCAGAGTTAAAAGAAATTGAACATTTAAAATGGAATTGAGGTTAAATAACACAGAAAATGTGGCAGAAGCGAAGTGCGGTTCCTAGTCGAGCTGGCGAGAGTTATCGCGTCACCTGCACAAAGGGTACAGGTTTGGACAAATTCAGGGGCGGTCGCCGATGTTGTAACGCTCTTGGCTTCTGTCCTTAGCCGAGATCCAACTGCGGGTCTGCGATCGTAACGGCGTAGTTTTGGACGGCATGTTCGTCATGGAGATGTGCTGTGTGGGTAGGCTTTGCGATAGATAGAATCACCGTCGAGGGGGGAAAAGAGCCCCGACCGGTAGCCCCAAACTTCGCTTATGCTAGAACGCCCCAGGGGTATTTTTGTTGTGCTGCTATTAACTGCCGTAACTTTAAAATTGGACGCCACACGAACGTAATAACTTGTGTATTTGCATCCAGTTACTTTCATTCAGATTTTGCTTTGTTTTTATTAAATTTGTGATATTCAAATATTTGCATTGATTCCAAACATATGTATAGGATTTTGTGTTTGTTCGGCTTTCATATGTGTATGTCTGTCAATTTGCGAGTGTCTCTTCTTTCATATTTTTAAGGTGTTTCATTTGAAATGTAATATGTCTGTGAATATACGATAGGGTGTTTGAATGCTCGCAGCTCTTTTCCTCCTTGAGAGGGGGTGCGAATTTTAGCCCCCTTCCAAAAATTTTGTCTATTATTTCTTACGCTCTCGACTCACACGCAGTGTATGCTCACTTGTATGATAAAAAACACAAAGTAGGTTTCCATTTTGTTAGATTTGTTAGAAGTCAAGGCCAAATTTTGAATTTTTGAATTTTTCGCGGGCCTTTCAAACTTTTTCAAGGTCAATTGAAGGCGGGAATTTTGGGTTATCACAAAAACAATTGCAAGGTATAATAACGTTTTATTCTTAACACGGTTTGTATCCACGGCTATTCTGGAGTAATGCGATTGTGGGTTCGATGTTAAACTTAATGCTGTGATTACTTTTATTTTGTATTTTGTACTTCAAGAGCGAGGGAAGTTCTGTCGAAAGAATTTTCGATCAATTTTTTAAAGCTGGGGTGGCTTTTTGCAACTGATTTCACCCTCAGAAAGGAGGATTTGGCCTCCATATTTTGCATTTTGATTTACGATTAGTTTTCCAACCTTGGGGTTTACCACTTTACATTTGAAAGCATTCTGCCAAACAACACAAAAACGCTCAACATCAGGTTCCATTTTGTTGACCATTACTATTATTTAAATTTCCTGTTTAACCTCCATAAAAAATATCTAACAGTTTCATTTTATCAGCTGTGACAATTTCGTTTCCTTTTCTGAATTTCCCTAATTTTGGGCAAACACGACTTCAGCCAGAAAAAGGTACACTTCATTACACACACATACATCAACGGTGATCAAAATTCCCTTTACTGATCCCTTGAAGGTTTGTCAAAGAAGTAATAAAACCAAGAAAAATTAACTACCATTGCGACCACCAAAAATCCTCCTCTAGTTGCCGCTGGCTTTCTAGCTGTCTTTGCTGCTCCTCATTGTGAAGGCACCAACTTGAGGTTTTTACACAAAATATGACAAAATCATCGCACGGACTCTGGCAATGTTGCTAAATCTACTCTTCGAGGGTTTGTTAAAGAAAAGCAAAACAGAACAAAATGGTCATATCATAACTGTCGAACAAAAGCTCATCTTGACTAATAAAAAATATTTAGAAATGCAGAAGAACCTATTATTTTTAACACACTTTATAGAACTCCTAGCAGAATTTGATAAGTTCAATTCTAGTAGGTCTTTGAATAATTGTTATGGGAAAGTCCAACAAACCTACTTTTTTAACACAAGGAGTGGGGGAAAATAAATGGAATAGCCTAAGTTCGTGGCTAAGTGATAAGCAGTGTACTGGTAAAGTAGACATTCACTAATTGTAACCTCTGGAACTTCGTAGATAATATTGGCACAAAAGTGCATGCATTTTAGTTGTTTTTTAAACGAGTTCTATTGTTATCAAGATACAAAATAAGTAACTTACCGTGAAGGTTGTCAGTTTTTTATTAAAGGTAATATTAATAACAAACTTTTCATGGTGGTGTACTTCGCTACTAAGTGTTTCAACACCTATCTTTCTTCTTATTTAGAAATTTCCAAATGGATGACTTTGACAAAATATTGAAAACGTTTTACTGGCCCGACTATCTTATGTTAATATTGATACTATTAATAAGTTTGAGTATTGGGTTCTATTTTGGAGCTGTTAAGGGTTTCAAAAGTACAGAAGATTATTTAATGGGTAATAGAAAAATGCAACTTTTTCCAATTACAATGTCGCTGATAGCAAGGTGAGTTTCAACTTCATCACCGTCGTTGTCAAACAACAATGAAACTATTGCATTTGCAGCTATGTTAGTGGAATTTCTATTTTGGGGATCCCCACAGATGTTTACCTTTATGGAATTCATTATATATTCTCTCTGATTGGACTCGTAATTACCTCAGTAATAATGAACTACATCTACTTGCCTGTTTTTTATAATTTAAAATTAACTTCATGCTACGAAGTAAGTTTACTTGATAGAAATTTTAATGTATTTTAATTGTGTTAATTGAAATTGTAGTACTATGAAAAAAGATTTGACAAAAAAGTCAGAATATTCGGATCTGTTTTGTTTGGAATTAACACGGTACGTATTTGCGTGTAAATACACCTTTTATCTTTCGAATTTAAAATTAAATTTATGCATAATGAATAATTCAATGTTAAAGTTCAACAGAAAAGCCTTTTACTGGAAAACACATTTTAAGGAGGAAATTCAAAACGTCATTAATGAATAATATGAATAAGTACGGGAGTCTACAGCAGAACCCTGTGCTACACCAGAAGTAGATACAAATATTTTCTATTGAAAACCATTGATAAATGTTATGCATCAGACATACAAAGTAAAAGTGTAGCAGCTAGTTCAGTCCGTCTAGACCGAATTTGTTTTGCAATTAAATTATTGTCCAACTATAGATTTTTTTTTTTAAATACAAGGTTTATTTTTCGAACTGGTAGTTATAAATAATGATAACAAAACTGAAATTCTCGTACTTAATTTTTCAACAACATACTTATATTTTTGTTCAAATCATGTTAGAAAATTATCAGAATGTTATAGTGTAACTGACCCTTAAACTTGAACAATAAAATGAAAAGTCAAACTCAACTTATACCCTTCAACCAGAAACAAATTCCTTAATAAATAATACTTAAAATCTGTCTATGTTTTAGATAACATGGATTGCACTAGTTATGTATGTATCCGCTCTTACTTTAAATAAAGGTAAGTTAGTAATTTTATGAATAATAAATTTATTTATTCTAAATTCTCAAACAAAACTTAGTAATGAAAAAATGTTATCTATGTCGAAATTTTCACATTTGTGCATTATAAGGTAACTGGACCCTATATGGCCTACCTATTTCACATTCTGATTTAAGGACACTTTTCCAAATTTGGGGTCATAAAACACAAAACATATTAGATAAGCACAACAGGAACATTTAAAAACAAAATAATAATTCGCGAATAAATGTTGAAATTCAGGCTGTAAAAAAATAACACTTTATTAATATGATACAAAATAAACATAAAATTCCCGTCCCATTTCGACTGCACGATTATAATAATTTAACTGATGACAAATTTCAAAGTTCTTCCTCTCAAAAATGGATTAACGTTCAAGAATAGTTTAACTGTGAAATGCCGGGATCGTCAAAATTTGACAACATTTAGAATAAGGAAATCGTTAATAAACTGCACTATTGCAAATAATTTTGCCTGATAATTTTGTAAACTTGTTTTTACAATTTTGATTGTGGTCTACAAATTGGAACTTTCTTTCACAATACTTGGCATTTGTACAAAATTTTGTTGTATTAGTTACAGGACTTAGCATACATTTAATCACCCCTACGGTCTGCATAGTCTGCATATTGTACACATTACTGGTATACAAATAAAAAAACTTCTAGATAGTAACACCAAACGACTTTATTTTTTAAGGGAGGTTTAAAAGCTGTTGTCTGGACAGACGCAGTGCAGTCCATAATAATGCTTTGTTCGTTGTTATTGCTTGTAATAAAGGGCACATTTGACGTTGGTGGACTACATGTAGTCTTAGAAAGAAACCTGAAGAGTGGACGCATTGAAGGCCCTAGGTAGATATAGCGACCATTTAAAATCTTCTCTTTTCTAGTTAAATAATAGTTTAGATCTAAATCCTACGTCCAGATACACCCTTTGGTCACTATCTATAGGAGCTGCAGTCTACTTTCTGGTAACAACCTGCACTGATCAAACTATGCTACAAAGATATTTAGCACTACCTTCATTGAAAAAAGCAAAAAGGTAAGAGCTTTCACACATCCATAATGATAAGAGTACATTTTTAGCGCAATGTACCTTTTTGTCATCGGATACGGTATCTTCGTCGCATTATGTTGTTACAGCGGTCTTTTACTATATGCAACATTTTACAAATGCGATCCTCTGAAAACACAAGTAAGGACTCACGAATCTTAAAAATCAAAATATCGGTTCTTCTTTTCAATAGCTTCCGGTAAAAAAAGACCAGCTGCTACTCCTTCTCGTTATGAAAGTTTTGTCTACGTGTCCTGGTTTACCTGGTATTTTTATAGCAGGAACACTGAGTGCCTGTCTAAGGTAAGATAGCATTGGAGAAAGTGTAACACAAGGATATACTTTTCCTTTAGTTCCTTATCAACTGGGCTCAACTCGATGGCAGCTGTAGTTGTACAAGACTGTCACAATTTTTACTTCAAACAAACTATGACAGAAACAAAGGCAGCCCGAATAATGCAACTTACTATAATCTTTTCTGGAACCATGTGTGTATGCTTAGTGTACCTAATACAACAGTTAGGTACCATATTACAGGCAATTATACCCACTTGTCTCTATTTAAGCAATTACGTTCTTTGCATCCTTGCATGTAGGTTTACATGAGCGTAGGAGCCATCACAAATGGAGCGTCACTTGGCTTATTTACAGCTGGCATTATTTTTCCATCAATAAATAACAAGGTACAAGAATGATTCTTTATCAATACGAAACAATAATTGTCGTCACAACTAGGGAGCCCTAATGGGTGGAATATCGTCTCTAGTATTTATGGCATGGTTATGTTTCAAAGCTCAAGCTGCAATAAGTTCTGGAGAACTGTTGTATATTCAAAAACCTCTAACAACTGAGACATGTCCACCTAATTTAACACATGTCCGACTCGAAGCGGACCATTTACTGTTGAACGCGTCAACATTAGACCATTCTGGGTATATCCCCAAAATGTTGTTATGAATTATTGAATTTCATTTTTCAGAAAAAGTTTTAATTTTTATCACGTCTCGTACCTTTGGTATACTTTAATTGGAACAACGGTTGTAATTGTAGGTGGTCTTATAATCAGCATGATAATCAAGGACTCGAAAAAAGTTGATCCAAAGTTGCTGATACCGTTAAATAGAAACAAGGCAGAAAAAACGTATAGTCTTACTTCAGCTGAAGAGAATAGCTTAACATCTTCGTCGAAAATTTAACTTACTTGATATGCACTGCATTAGTTTTAAGCTTATTCTTGCATTCCACTGGTGACACCAAAAAGTTATGGACTCTCCTGATGAACTCAATGATCTTTACACTTTAATTGTGATTTAATTCTGTTTTCCACAAATAAAAGCATAATTAAAATGTAAAAACCACCAAGTATCACCACAATTTTATTATTTATTTCAAATTGTATCCAATGGATTAAAAAAATTACTGAAACAAGACTGTCTGAAACAATTTTTTTTATAACCTGCACCATTTTACCATTTCCACAAAAGTTCCTTTGCCTTTAAAATATGCTCCGCAAGCACATTTTAAAGGAAGTTCCCTTCACAACGTTCATTTATATTTTCAAATGGATGAATAGATGGTAAACGCTTTATTACTTCTGCGATAATTTCATTTTTACAAATTTCAATTTGAATAGCGAATATTTTAAACATCTTACTTCGCGACAATGAACACGCAATGTTTTTTGATTCAGCTCGTCGAGATTTACCTCTACTTCGCCAAGAAATCTGACATTCGCTGTTCATTATTTTTAAAAAAATTAAAATTCCATTGTCAAAAAATTGAACCGTTTTTTTTAAAACTTGATTGTCATTTAAACGACAATACAAAAATAAATATTTCCTAAAACGCTTCATCCAAACTGTGGAAAGTGTAGCACCCCGATCTTATTCGGCAACCTGGTGGGGTGGGGGGGAATAGGGTAGGGGTGCTGCAGCCTGTATATAAGGGCGAAACAAACCCACGATTTTCAGTCTTAATGTTGACGTTACAGCGCTAACATACCAGACACTTTCATCACCACAAGACTGTAAGTATACCCTTCATTTATTTATGTAAATTGTTTCTAATTCTTGTTTCCTTTTTCAGATATTTCCAAACCATGGCTCTACAGAGATGTTCATCGCCAACCCGCACTTTGGAGTCTTTCCCAGAAGAGGAACTCGATTCCACCTCCAGGGAATACAGAAATTTCGTCAAAAATTTCGAAAAGCCCGAAGATTTGACGAAAATAATGACAGTCAGAGGAGTCGGATCCAGGCACCTCCCAGGAATTATTTCTGGAAATTTGAGGCTCAGACGGACACTAATAAGGAGACCTCTATCACAGGAGTAACCTATCGGATTATATACCCGTTTTAAACTAGATATTTGATGTATCCATTTTGTTTGTACATATATTTTGTTATTTTGTTTTATAAAATACAAATTATTATAACTTTATAAATTAAATTATTTAATTTAAAACTTTAAACTGTGTCATTTTCCTTAATTTTCCCACTGAATGAAGAAAATCTTCAAAATTATTTAGTACAATAGCGTGCATCTGAAGTCGACCATGCAAAAAAATGTTGAGGAGCTGGAATTCGAGTTTGAACGAGCAGAGCTTAAGTTCAAAGCTAAAAAGTCGTACTACCGCTACTTTTTCCAGAATCACCAAAGTAAAATATGGCACTTTTTGGAATTTTTACAACTTTTAGTTATTTATACCGAATATTTTCACAATCTTGATCCGCTACTAGTGTTGATTTCGATCTCGATAATTTGTTTTTGGTTTAATTTCTTCCAAAAATTCCTACTTATCCCCAGAACAGCCAAAATAAATGTCAATTTCTGTGATTTTTCAAAAGTTTAGTTTGAAAGCAAATATTTCGTAAATCTTGATCTGCGACTCTCAACGCCATGTTTTTATGTTATATATCAGAACTTTTGGTACTTAATCACTTTATCTGTTCAGTAATCCAGCTATATATAAAAAAAAGCCAACTTTTTGTTTTTTTTTGGAACAGTACATCGTGAATTTCTAAAATAAATCCTTCTGAACCCCAGATCTAACAGTATTCCTCCATTCAGTTGTCCACAGACTTTTCCTCCACGATTACAACCGCCACAAAAACTTAATGAATCTTTAAAACTGAAAATCCCTCAACACCATCCTATAAATTAAGCTCTCCCAATTAAAAACCCGTAAAAACGTGTCCCGGTACAACTTATTAAAACCTTTCAAACCGAAAGCGTCGAGACCCAAATCCCAGAGTCTTTTGAGAATTTGTATGCAACTTCACCGAAAGTAAAATTTTTCAAATCAATGAAACTGTTTACCTTTTCCTAGAATTTTCAAAAATTATCAAAAGAGAAACTATTATTTATTTCAACCTCCAGAACTTACCCAAACTATGGAAACTGTGGCATCGCGCCTCCCGGAAAATGGTGTGGAGAAAAAAGCTTGACGAGGTGGGGTGAATAGGGTAGGGGTGCTGCAGGATGTACATAAGGGCGAAACAAACCCACGATCTTTAGTTTTAATGTTGACGTCAGAAGGCTAACATATCAGACTCTTTCATCACCATAAAACTGTAGGTATACTTATATAATTTATTTGTGTTTGTGTTATAATCAAACTTTTTCATTCTTTCTAGATAGCCGTCTGCCATGGACCTTCCAAGGACCTCCACGCCCATGCCCTGCCGATGCATGGTCAGGATTTCGGTGCGATGTGGCCCGAATTGCGCATGTTGCAGGGAATACAGGAGATTCATGGAAAACCACCGGGAGCCCAAAAATTTGCGTAAGGTGTACCGAGTCAAAGGGGTTGAAGAGACGGCCTGCTGCGACATCGTGGCTGGACATGTACTCTTCAAGTGCTCGCGGAAATTCCTGAGCATGAAGGACTTCTTGGCGAAGCTGCGACGGAAGTTTTGGAGGAAGAACAAAACGTTGCGGGTGTCGGGGGATATGGTTGAAAGTGTGTTATAGATGTATAGGTATATCTTGTGTAAATTTAATTTGTTGTATGTATTTGTAAATAAAACTGTTATTAGTTAATTACTTCTGAAACAATTTCTTCCGGAACCCAAAATACTGATACCTCGTACCACTTGATACTATCTGAATTTAAGATCAAATGCTTAATCCATAAATTTGGCAGGGTCACTTTGACCTTAGTTAGTTTTAACATTTCTTTTTCATTGTTTACTCCGCTCTCGAGCCCCATCGGATCGATGTGCCGCCACCAATCTGCGCTATCCTATCTTTTTCCTAGAATTGATAAAATAAAAAATGGTCATTTTTGACATTTCTTTAATATGTCAATATGCAAGCGAATATTTAGAAAATGTTCATCCGCCACCGTCATCGGTTCAGCCAAGCCAAGACCCAATTACCAGAATTTCTTGAGAATCTGTATGCAACTTCGTCGAAAGTTAAATTATAAGTATTTTACATTTTCCGAAAATTTTCAAAAATTAAGAAGGAAACTATTGTTGATTTCGACTTCCAGAATTTGTATTTGGTTCATTTCGTCAAAAATTCCTGCCTCTTTCTCTAATCACCAAAAGCAAATATGGTGATTTTTACAAATTTCAATTTGAATGCGAAAATTTTAAACATCTTGCTTTCGCGACCATGAACACGCAATGTTTTCTGATTCAGCTCGTCGAGATTTACCTCTACTTCGCCAAGAAATCTGACATTCGCTGTTCGTCATTTTTGAAAAAATTAAAATTCCATTTTCAAAAAATTGAACCGATTTTTTTAAAACTTGTCATTTAAACGACAATACAAAAAGAAATATTTCCTAAAACGCATCACCCAAACTGTGGAAAGTGTAGCACCCCGATCTTATTCGGCAACCTGGTGGGGCGGGGGGGGGGGGGGAGGGTAGGGGTGCTGCAGCCTGTATATAAGGGCGAAACAAACCCACTATCTTCAGTCTTAATGTTGACGTTACAGCGCTAACATAGTAGATACTTTCATCACCATAAGACTGTAAGTATACCCTTCATTTATTTATATAAATTGTTTCTAATTCTTGTTTCCTTTTTCAGATATTTCCAAACCATGGCTCTACAGAGATGTTCATCGCCAACCCGCGCTGAGGAGACTTTCCCAGAAGAGGAACCCGATTCCACCTGCAGGGAATACAGAAATTTCGTCAAAAATTTCGAAAAGCCCGAAGATTTGACGAAAATAATGACAGTCAGAGGAATCGGATCCAGGCACCTCCCAGGAATTATTTCTGGGAATTTGAGGCTCAGACGGACACTAATAAGGAGACATCGACCACAGGAGTGACCTATTGGATTATATATTCGTTTTAGACTAGATATTTCATGTATCCATTTTGTTTGTATATAAATTTTGTTATTTTGTTACATAAATTACATATTATTATAACATTATAAATTAAATTATTTAATTTAAAATTTTAAACTGTGTCATTTTCCTTAATTTTCCCACTGAATGACGAAAACCTTCAAAATTATTTAGACAAAAGCGTGCATCTGAAGTCAACCATTCAAAAAATGTTGAGGATCTGGAATTCGAGTTTAAACGAGCAGAGCTTAAGTTCAACGTTAAAAAGTCCTACTGCCACTACTTTTTCCAGAATCACCAAAGTAAAATATGGCACTTTTTGGAATTTTTACAACTTTTAGCTTATACCGAATATTTCCACAATCTTGATCCGCTGCTAGTGTTGATTTCGATCTCGATAATTTGTTTTTGGTTTAATTTCTTCTAACATTCCAACTCATCCCCCGAACAGTCAAAATAAATGTAAATTTTTGCGATTTTTCAAAACTTGAATTTGAAAGCAAATATTTCGTAAATCTTAATCTGCGACCATCAACGCCATTATTTTTTATTCATCTTATCGATAGTAACATCCTACAATTTTTGGTGAATTTTTTGGCAGCTTTGCCCAAATTTCAATTTTTCCAACTCGCTGTATGAAATTTTTGACTTTTCAAAGTTTCCAAAAGATATGCTATTATTATTTCGACTTCCAAATTTGTTTTTTGTTTCATTTCTTCAAAAATTCGTCTTATTTCTAGAATCGCCAAAATAAAACATGTTACTTTTTGACGTGTTTCAAAAAAGTCAATTCAGAAGCGAACAGTTAGAATATTTTCTCAGTAAACATATAAATTTGATTTATATTTATATTGTTTGTGGCTATTGTTTTGACTGTAATAGATACATATTTATCAATTCTGGACAATAAAGATGTTATTACTGTATGGTGTAATCACCCCATAAACATCCAGCGGGATTTCCAATTTTACCTGCGTTATCGTAAAATCGGCTTAGCACAACAATATATTATCACACCCTTTATCTATACAATTTTTTTAAACCACTGTAAAAAAATAAAAACCATCCCAACAAAATATAAGCAACTCTCACTTAATTATTTTGAGTTGATGTCATCATGTTTTGGAAGGGATAATAGTATATTACATTATTAGATTCTAAAGTGTATCTTTTTTTGACGAGCAATGATTTCATTTGCGAGGCGGAGCGAAGCGTAGCCGAGCGAAAGCAATCATTGCGAGGCAAAAAAAGACACTTTAGAACCGAATAATATATACTATTTTTTCTCCAACCGCAATCACGCAACTATTTCGTTTTTGCTTTTGAACAATTAAAATTAACCAAAAATTCGTTGGAAAATAAAGTAGCCTATTTCGATGTAGTCATGGAAAATTTTCAAACATTTTTAGTAAAAGTTATACACTTTAGCTCCTAAGATAAAATATGACTTGTTTGTTGCTAGGATGCCATCTTTTATTATCTCAGTAAAGAAAACGTTAACCTTACGAGATCCCTGACAGTCAAAAAACGTTGCCCCATCAAAATTATAAGCAACTCTCTCCTAATAATTTTTGAGATGATGTCATCATGTTTTGGAAGGGATAAAAGAATCTATTTAGAAAACTTTGCCTCTTTACGCATTCACTAAAAGCAAATATGGTCATTGTTGTGTTAATAAATGCGAATTGAATCGGAGAATAACGTGTATTTATTAACGTACTATTACAAGTGTGTTTCTACATTTTTGCACCTGTCACTTGTCAATGCCAATCAGCATTCCCGGCCGTACATGTCGGTACATTAGGACACTACATCATTCCCCCCTTTTTTTAACAAAATGAAAAGGCACAAAATTATAATTAGCAAACAAAATCTTTGGTCCACGGAGGCGGTTGCCTTTGTCTCGCGGAACGCCTCTCCGTTGGTTCTTGTCGTTCTTGTTGGATATCTTCCACTGAAGGTTGGATTGGGTTTTCTCCTTCTCGTTCCTTGTTGTAGGGCTTCACACGGGGTGTGTTTCTGTGTACTTTACGCCCATCTGGTGTTTCGATAGTCACGGAGTTGCCCAGTTTATTCGTCACTCTACCAGGTTGCGGGAGATACGGTGTCTCTAGTTTGTCGGAAATAACGTCTCTTCTCAGTAGTACTTCATCTCCGATTTGAACTTCAGACGGCCTGCTCCGTCTGTGCGCGTCAGCATATGATTTGCTCGCTTCTTTCTTCTCCAAGTCTTGATCTCACACCTCGGTGTCGGTAATTGGCTTGAAGAAATTGTTCTGGTAACTAGGTAGTTTATCTCGGAGCTCCCTCCCGAACATGAGATATGCTCCCCGTTACGCAATGTGGTGTATTGTGGTACGCAAACAAGTATTGTCTTAAGGCTCTGATGATTTCTCCTGAAGCTTGCGCTATTCGAAGTCTTTTCAGCAAGGATTTATTTTGTCTCTCGACTTCTCCGTTTGCTTGAGGCCATTTCGGGGTGTTTATTCTCAGCGTGATGCCGTTTTGCAAACAGTAGTCCCGGAATTCAGTGCTTGTAAATTGAGTTCCATTATCTGCAGTGATGTGCTCTGGGAGGCCAAATCTTGAAAATATTTCCTCCAATTCTTCAATGGTCTTCTGTGCAGTGATGGATTTCATGACTCTTGCTTCGTAGAAGCGGCTATAATAGTCTATAACGAGAAAAATGTTTGTATCTCCTTGAAGTGGTTCTAGGAAGTCCATTGCAACCATTTTCCAGGGGCCTCCCGGGAGTCTCGTCATGGTCAGTGGTTCTGGTGGTTGCGCAGCGCTCACTAGCTGGCATCCGTGGCAATGCTTGCAGAATGTCTCGACGTCTTTTTCCATGCCAAACCACCAAACTTTAGTTCTCAGTCGTTGCTTCATTTTGACGATTCCCTGATGACCTTCATGGGCTAATTTTAAGACTCTTTGCCGTAATGAAGGCGGAATTAATATTCTTGTGCCTCTAAGAACAACGTCGTCAATGATACATAGTTGTGTTTTGATCAGTTCGTATTTCCACAGTCTCACTGGATATTTATCTTCTCGGATCGCATCTCTAAGGTCTTGCATCTCCGTGGATTTTTCTCGGATCTCTTCAATGCTCATTGAATATGGAACTGCTTCCTTCGCGACCCATCGGACGTGATGTTCATCATCATCGGCGATGTTTGATTTTGTATTCGTGTCAGTTAGCCTGGACAATGGGTCTGCAATATTTTTCTTGCCTGGTTGGTATATAACGTTGAAGTTATATCCCATAAGCCTCATGACCCATCTTTCTACTCGTGCACAAGGCTTTGATCTGGGTGAGAATATGAATTCTAACGGCTTGTGGTCTGTAATTATATCAAATTCAGGGCCGTATACGTACAGGCGAAATCTTTCGCATGACCATACTAGACTTAGGGCCTCTTTTTCAGTTTGGCTGTACTTCTTTTCTGCGTCTGTTAAGGCTCGACTTGCGTATTCAATGATCTTCTCCCCTCCATTCTGCATTTGGACGAGAACTGCACCTAAGCCATACGGACTTGCATCAGCTATGATCGTTGATTTACAACGTAGATTGAAGAATCCCAGGGTTTTACTCTTCATTAGTTCCCCTTTCAGTCGTTCAAACGCCTTGCTTTGTTCTCTTCTCCATTGGAACTGTACGTCTTTTCTAATCAGTTTTCTAAGCGGAGCAGTGAACGCTGAGTATTCGGGTATAAACTTACTGCAAAATCCTACCAAGCTCAAGAAACTGCTTAGCTCGGTTTTTATTTTCGGAGCCCGAAAGCTTTTGATTGTTTCGATTCGGCTTCTTAGCGGTCGTACACCTTCTTCGCCGATCTCATGGCCCATAAATTCTAATTTCTTCTGTGCTATCTTGCACTTGTCCTTGTTCACTGTTATGCCAGAGTTCTCAAGTCGTTTGAGTAGTTCGAGTAAATTTCTATTATGATCTTCTAGGGTTTTCCCATGGACCAAGAAGTCATCTACATATATTTGTACACCATGTAGGTCTTCAGCAAGTTGTTCCATGATGCGTTGGAATATCTCGGGTGCACAGTTTATGCCAAAAAATAGTCTCTAGAATCGGTAAAGCCCATCGCAAGTAGCCAATGTTGTGATTTCTCTGCTACTCTCTTCTAATTCGATTTGATGAAAAGCTGATTTTAAGTCAATTTCTGAAAACCATTTGCTTCCATTTAAGCTCAGAATCAAATCGTTGATCATTGGAATTGGATTATGACTTCGTTTGCTGCCCTCATGTCGACACACATGCGTAGTTCTTCGTTTTTCTTTGTTGTACAAACTACTGGTGATACCCATCGCGCCGGTTCGTTGACCTTCTCAATTATATCGCTTTCTATTAGCTCCCTCAGTTTTCCCTTTACCAAAGGTCGTAGCTGGAACGGTATTCTTCTGCCAGTCTGTGCCAACGGTTGAATTTTTTCATCACTAGCAATTTTCAAGGAGTAATCATGGAGTTTCCCGATTCCTTCGCCCATAGCGTTAGGAAATTTTTTGCATAGCGATTCGATGGAAGGGACCTCTATGCTGCTGACGTTTCGTAGCGGGTGTCCTGTCCGCAGGATGCCCAACGTCCTAGCAGTGCTCTTTCCGATTATTGGTGTAGCCTTGACATCAACGACGTAGAACTTGATCGAGTCTAGCTGACTTCCATTTTCTAGTTCTACGGTGGTGTGGAACGTACCCAATGTCTTCAATGGTGATTGTCTCCCATACGAGTATAATTTCTTCGTGTCTGGCTCCCCACAGGTGCCTTTTATCTTACTTGCTTTCAGGTTTTCCCAACTCTTCTTGTCTATTACGTTGCATGTTGCACCTGAATCGATAAAAAATCTTGCCTTGACCCCTCCGACTAAAACTTGAATACTGTCTAGGTCGCTGTCTTCGTCTTGTAGTTGGAAAGCATACTCGATGTCTTCTGGATCTCCAGTTTCGACGTTTCGGATTCTTTTCCCTTGTTCAGTCGTTTTCTTCTTTGTTCTGCAGCATTTCCCCAGATGTCCTATCAGCCCACATTTGTTGCATGTTTTATTCCTTGCAGGACACTTCTCATCACTCGCTCTGTGACCTTCCCCGTCGCATCTGTAACATTTGAACGCTTTGGGTGGACGCTTCGTGTTCACTTTCTTTTCTACTCTTCGGATGTCTTGACTTCCGGCTTCCATTCGCCCGGCTTGTTTCTCGGAGCCTTCGAAGATTCTTCCCAGCTCCTTGGCTCGATCTACGGTTAAACTGTCGCCTTCCTAAAGGAAGACAACTGCTAAAGCAGTTGCCTTCGCAGGTCATTTGAAGTGCATTTCTCGATTAGTTGGTCGATGATCATGTCGTCTGCGTTGTTTCTGAAGTTGCAGTTAGCACTCTGCGCCTTTAAGCGGGTGACGAACTGGATAATGGTTTCGCCTTCTTTCTGGCTTAATGACCGAAACACGTGCCTTTCGTACGTATAGTTCTTTTTTGGCTGAAAAATTGCGGTTAGTGCTGTTTTGCAGATATCATACAGTGGTGCTTGCGGCTCATCCTCCGTTTTCGATTCTGGAAGCGTATACCAGACCTCTTATACACCTTCCCCGGCATGGTGGAGTAATAACGCCCGTTTTCTTTTTTCATTTTGAATCGCACTTGCCTCCAGAAATAGTTAGAACGATCGTAGCCATCGGTCCCATTTCTGTGCTGTTTCCGATTCCTCCCCCGTCGGGTCGAACGTTTTGATACCCGTCTTGTCGGCATTCATCTTCTTTACCCTTTTCCTCGTCACCAATGTTGTGTTAATAAATGCGAATTGAATCGGAGAAAAACGTGTATTTATTAACGTACTATTACAAGTGTGTTTCTACATTTTTGCACCTGTCACTTGTCAATGCCAATCTGCATTCCCGGCCGTACATGTCGGTACATTAGGACACTGCAGTCATTTTAAAAATTTCAATTTGAAAACGAATACATATTCTCAAAATCTTGCTTCGTGACCATAAATATGCTGTGTTTTTTGATTCAGCTCATCGAGATCTACCTCTACTTCGCCAAGAAATTTGACATTCGCTGTTCACTATTTTTGAAAAAATTAAAATTCCATTGTCAAAAAATTGAACCGATTTTTTTAAAACTTGATTGTCATTTAAACGACGATACAAAAAGAAATATTTCCTAAAACGCTTCACCCAAACTGTGGAAAGTGTAGCACCCCGATCTTATTCGGCAACCTGGTGGGGTGGGGGGGAATAGGGTAGGGGTGCTGCAGCATGTATACAGGGTGTCCCAGAATTCGCGCCATTCCCGTGAATGACATGTTCCCTGTCCCGAACTGTGCCGTAATTCGCAAAAAGAATTGTCCAGGCTTTAACCGTGTGAGAACTGGAAGGCGATTAAGTTGACCAATAGAGAGGCTGCTTTTATATCCGAACGTTTCTATATTCAAAGTTACCTATGCCAAGAACAAAAAATCGGGTAATACTAAAGTTGAATGAATTTTTTCCGAATCCCCCTCCGTCAACAAAAGGAAACAGAAGTGTGGTTATAAATTTAATCATTTTGACAATTGTTTGTCATAAACTGTCACGAAGTTCATCACTGACCTAAAGAGATGCTTTTGCGCCAAAGATGACTGATTAATGTACACAGAGACGTCAAGGTTTACTTTAAGGCAAGTAGCATGGGACAGAAGTTATTTCTGCTGCCATTCTAGTTAAATTGTGTTTAACTGGGCTGTACATGGCATAAGAGAAGCTGTTTCATTTCATCGTAGGCAAATAATACATTTATTACTATTCTACATAGTGTAGATACCGAAGAGCAGGTATTAGAAGTGATTTTCTTAGAGCCCCGTGAATAATGTGTTGTTCTTTTTAACGAAAATGAGTACATTTTCAGAATGCATCATATGCCTGATATTAAGTTTATCGTTATTTCTAAAAAAGAGTACCACATGTCCATTCAAAGAACGTTATTAAGTGTACTAAAACATAAATATCGCTTTTGATTAATCGGTGCTTATGATTTTCAATAAACAGTATCAATTTTTACTGAACAGCTTTGTTGTTGATACCTAATCTAAGCAACGAAAAAAGAGACGAGACTCCACTTCTCTGGTGTATTAAGATCATAGGTATCTGCTGTGGTGTCAATCATGTGGGGGAGATACTGAAAACTGAGACTTATACAAGAATAATATTGATGTTGCACATGATGATTTAAAACAGTTTCTTTAAAGTTGTGAGTACTTTCTAGAGATTGAAAAGATACGAATAAAAATTATAACAAAAATCGTTTAGTTGCAATTTTTTTTTAAGAACAATACAAACTATAAACAAATCAGTACCAATACCACTAAGTTATTGATGTTCATACTAGTATAAAGAATATTTGGAAATGATGTTAATTTATGGAGAATGTAAACGCTATGCAGCCACTGCTGTGCGCGAATATACAGGTCTTTTCGCCAATCATCGGCTCCTTGACCAGCATGTGTTTCGTCGTTTGTTGCATCCAGCAAAAGAAGATGGATCTTTTCAGCCTATTCGGAAAGCCGTGCTGGGGCTCCACGGATTATACGCATAGACGGTGAAGAACAAGTGGCACAAATGATTGGATGCTCAAGATCGATCATGCATCGTATCCTTACAAAGAAAAATCTGCATCCTTACTATTGACGAAAGTGCAGCATCTGCGACGAGCCGACTGCGCGACGAGTGCATGTTGCTAAATGGTTACTGCGACAAAATGAACTAAATCCTGATTTTTCACGGCACATTCTTTTCGCCGACGAATGTTGATTTTCCCGAAAAGGAATATTTAATGCGCACAATTGGCACTTCTGGGCAAACGAAAATCCACATTTCGCTAACGTGAGAGCATATCAAGAGCAATACTATTAATCTATGGGCTGGAATCGTTGTACTGTAACGTTATTAAACAATGTGCTCAAAATGACCACCATTAACTTCAATGCAAGTTCTAGCTCGTCGAATTATGTTGTGTTGTGTATTATTTAACATCTCAGGAGTAACTGTAGCGTAGGCTTCGTGCAGTCTCTCTTCCAGTTCTTCTAACATATCTAGGGGTTCTCTATATACGTAATTTTTAATTTGATTCCAAAAAAAAAGTCCAAAGGAGAAAGGTCTGGAGATCTAGGAGGCCAGATGTTAGTACTGCCACGCCCAATCCACCTATGACGATACTCTTTTCAATGTTCGTCGTACAAGTATCGAATTATCTGGAGGAGCGCCGTCGTGCTGAAACCACATATTCCGCCGTACATTCAAAGGAACGTCTTCCAACAATGCCGGAAGCTCTAGTCGTAGAAAATTAGCATATACATCCCCATTAAGGCGATCAGGTAACACAAACGGCCCCACCTAAAAAAACAGGAACGGAGTTTAGTGATAATTTTATCAGATGCATTAAAATTTTTACCACAGTAGTACCAATGATTCCAGCCCATAGATTAATAGTAAATCGCTCCTGATATGCTCTCACCCTAGTGAGATGTGGATTTTCGTGTGCCCAGAAATGCCAATTGTGTGCATTAAACATTCCTTCTCGGGAAAATGAACATTCGTCGGTGAAAAGAATGCGCCGTGTAAAATCAGGATTTAGTTCATTTTGTCGCAGTAACCATTGAGCAAAATGTACTCGTCGCGGGTAGTCGGTTGGTCGCAGATGCTGCACTCTCGTGTAAAATGGTAAGGATGCAGTCTTCTCTCTTGAAGGATACGATGAGTGGTCGGTCTTGAGCATCCACTCATTTGCGCTACGTAGAGGACACTTCTCCTAGGATCCGCTTCCATGTTTTCTAACACTTGCTCTTCAGCACCTACACGTACATTCCGTGGAGCCCCAGCACGGCATTGCCGACTAGATTGAAAAGATCCATCTTCTCTTGCTCGATGTAACAATCGGTGAAACACATGTTGGTCTAGGTGCCGACGATTATTCACGGGGCTATAAGAAAATGACTTCTAATACCTGCTCTTCGGTAGCTACTCTATGTAGAATAGTAATAAATGTATTATTTGCCTACGATGAAATGAAACAGCTTCTCTTATGCCATGTACAGCCCAGTTAAACACAATTTAACTAGAATGGCAGCAAAAATAACTTCTGTCCCATGCTACTTGCCTTAAAGTAAACCTTGATGTCTCTGTGTACATTAATCAGTCATCTTTGGCGCAGAAGCGTCTCTTCAGGTCAGTGATAAACTTCGTGACAGTTTATGACAAACAATTGTCAAAATGATTAAATTTATAACCACACTTCTGTTTCCTTTTGTTGACGGAGGGGGATTCGGAAAAAATTCATTCAACTTTAGTATTACCCGATTTTTTGTTCTTGGCATAGGTAACTTTGAATATAGAAACGTTCGGATATAAAAGCAGCCTCTCTATTGGTCAACTTAATCGCCTTCCAGTTCTCACACGGTTAAAGCCTGGACAATTCTTTTTGCGAATTACGGCACAGTTCGGGACAGGGAACATGTCATTCACGGGAATGGCGCGAATTCTGGGACACCCTGTATAAGGGCGAAACAAACCCGCGATCTTCAGTCTTAATGTTGACGTTACAGCGCTAACATAGCAGACACTTTCATCACCACAAGACTGTAAGTATACCCTTCTTTTATTTATGTAAATTGTTTCTAATTCTTGTTTCCTTTTTCAGATATTTCCAAGCCATGGCTCTACAGAGATGTTCATCGCCAACCCGCACTATGGAGACATTCCCAGAAGAGGAACTCGATTCCACCTGCAGGGAATACAGAAATTTCGTCAAAAATTTCGAAAAGCCCGAAGACGTGACGAAAATAATGACAGTCAGAGGAGTGGGATCCAGACACCTCACAGGAATTATTTCTGGAAATTTGAGGCTCAGACGGACACTAATAAGGAGACATCTACCACAGGAGTAAATTATTGGATTATATATTCGTTTTAGACTAGATATTTCATGTATCCATTTTGTTTGTACATAAATTTTGTTATTTTATTTTATAAACTACATATTATTATAACATTATAAAATAAATTATTTAATTTAAAACTGTAAACAGTATCATTTTCCTTCATTTTCCCAGTGAATGACGATAATCTTCAAAATTATTTGGACAAAAGCGTGCATTTGAAGTCGACCATTCAAAAAAATGTTGAGGAGCTGGAATTCGAGTTTAAACAAGCAGAGCCTAAGTTCAACGCTAAAAAGTCCTACTACCACTACTTTCTCCAGAATCACCAAAGTAAAATATGGCACTTTTTGGAATCTTTACAACTTTTAGTTTATACCGAATATTACCACAATCTTGATCCGCTGCTAGTGCTAATTTCGATCTCGATAATTTGTTTTTGGTTTAATTTCTTCAAACATTCGAACTCGTGCCCAGAACAGCCAAAATAAATGTCAATTTTTGTGATTTTTCAAAACTTGAATTTGAAAGCAAATATTTCGTAAATCTTAATCTGCGACCATCAACGCCATGATTTTTTATTCAACTTACCGATAGTAATATCCTACAATTTTTGGTGGATTTTGTTAGGAAACATTGATGGAGTGCGTGTTCGGCGGTAGTCTGCGCGACTGCGCCAGCGATGACGTAGCCATGACGAAGACGAACGTCACAACTAATGGCTGGTCGGTTGTCCGCGCGCGTGTGTCTAAGTTCACTGTAATGTATATTTACTTGTGTTTGTATAATAAATGCATTAACTGCTGGTCGTGTTTTCGTTCCACGTGCCTCATATAACTAACAGGTTATGGGCCCAGAGAAACCACGTGAGCGAATTACAAAACACGTGCGGAAATGTCGGTCCACGAAACGTTGAACCGGAAGCTGTGCGCGTCGGCCATTGAGGACTAACACGTGGTGTTAAGTCGAACACTCGAATTTCATGTGCCGTGTTAACGTGGCGCGAGTACTTGCGGGTTCTTTTCTCTATTCTCGAAATTATCTGTGCGGTTAATAAACAAAATGGCATCAGGTGCGGTCAGAATCGAAGCTTTGGGGAAGGACAACTCCGACACGTGGAAGTTGCAGATGGAAGCGGTACTGATTAAAAGGGACGCCTGGAATTACGTCAATGGGCAGACGCCGAAGGCGAAGTTATTGGCGGATAGTTCGAATGTTGCAGCCGTCACAGACTGGGAGAAGAACAATGTTAAGGCAAGGTCAGACATTATTTTATCTATTAGTCCGCCGGAGTTAAAGCAGATGAAAAACTGCGGTACGTCTAGGGAGATATGGCTAAGACTGGAAGACATATATCAATCCAAGGGACCAGCCAGGAAAGCCACTCTCTTGAAAAATTTAATTTTGTGTAAGATGCCTGAAAACGGCGACGTGCGCGAGCATTTGCGCGAATTTTTTGATACAGTGAACAAGCTTGGCGACAGCAATAAATCCCGATCTTTTAGCAATTCTGTTGTTATACAGCTTGCCCGCGAATTTCGAAATGTTCCGATGCGCGATTGAATCGCGGGATGAACTCCCCACCCCCGAGATTCTGCGTATTAAAATTATAGAAGAGAGTGACGCGCGCAAGAAGAGCATGCGCGGCAGCAATGGTCGACAGAACCCCTCTGACGTAATGATGGCAAAAAACCAGTGGCGGCGAAACAAGGACAGAGTTGATGGGGGGGGCACGAATGGTTCAAAACAGGGAGACTGGAAGAAGATTCGCTGCTTTAAGTGTAAGAAGAAGGGTCATAAAGCGGCGGAATGTTGGAGCCACAATAAAAATGACAGGGCGAAATTCGCAAATATCTGTCTAAATGCTTCGAAGGACAAGTTAACCTTTCCCGCCGACGCTAGATCGTGCCTGGACAGTGGCGCGACGGCGCACTTGTGTTGTGACGCGCGAAGTTTCGAAAAACTTAACGAACGTAATCGCGGAACTTTAAATCTCGCTAACAACTCTACAACGGACATTTCTGGCGAAGGACTAGTGCGGTTCAAATCAAATGTGCGCGGCAAAGAGACTGTGGTGACACTTGACGAGACAACAACTGCGGACTCAAAAGGTAAAATACACCTTGTTGCCAAAAGGGTCGGAGATTTATACTTTTTAAGCGAGGACGAGCACAACGCTCGCGTAGGATTCTCGAAACCGATCGACAGCAATGACGTCATATCGCTTGAGCTGTTGCATAAGCGATCGGGACACGCGAACGCGAAGGATTTGTTGAGTGCCGTTTCGCAAAATGTCGTACGCGGAGTTCGCTTAGAACCTAACAGTGGCAACTTCGAATGTGTGACATGCCTTCAGGGGAAGATGATAAGGACCCCATTTCCCAAAAAGTCGAATCGGAACACAGAGGTGTTGGATATGGTACACACTGATATTTGCGGGCCCATGCGAACCGAATCTCTAGGCAAGGCGAGGTACTTTATCGAGTTCATCGATGACACGTCGAGATGGACAGAAGTTCGCTTCCCAAGATACAAAAGCGGTGCACTTCATGCGACCAAGGATTTCATCACGCTGATGGAAAATCAAAAGGGCAGGACAGTTAAGTGCCTTGAGTCCGATAACGGAGGCGAATATACGGGCGGCGAATTCGATGCTTACCTTCAGTCCAAAGGCATCACCAGAAGGTTGACCGTTCCTTAAAACCCGGAACTGAATGGAGTCGCGGAGAGGAAGAACCGGACACTGTTGGAAACGGCAAGATGTCTTCTCTTGGATGCCAGGTTGCCTGACTCATTCTGGGCAGAGGCGGTTAACACCGCGAACTATGTTAGAAACAGGCTGCCGACGAAAAGTCTAGATGACAAAACCCCATTTGAAGTGTGGACCGGTAAGGTGATGAGCATCTCGAACTTTGGGGTATTTGGATCAAAAGTCTATTACCTGAATCGCGAACCGGATAACGGAAAATTTTCTCCCCGAGGAGAAGAGGGGATTTTTCTCGGATACGACGACTCTCACAAGGGTATCGCATTTGGTCTCTTCAGAAACACAAAGTCATCATCAGCAGAGACGTGAAGTTTTTAGAAGATTCTTCAAACGAACTCCGCGAAATTGAAGTCGATAGATGTAGCGAGGAAGTGAACGACACGAAGAAATTTGTCGACATCAGATTTCCTGTTCGCAAGGAGCGAGAGATTCCTGAAGAAGTCGACGAGAATTTAGGCGCAGATCCAATACTAGAAAACCTACCTCAGATTAATGCGGAAATCGAGGAAGTGACGCGAGACGAACCGATCCCGATCGACGACGACGGCGACGAACCACCCCAGGTGCAGCCTCAGACACAACGAGGACCCGGTCGCCCTAAGATCGTCAGAACTGGAGAGAGGGGACGACCCAGGAGGGAATTCAATCAAGTGCCGAGGCCCGAATCGAATGTCATCGAATGGAGCGAAGTCGGGTTATTTTCTGCAATTTCGATGAAGGAAGCTTTGAACGGTGCAGACGCGGATGAATTACGGGACGCCGTCGTGTCTGAAATGACATCCGTTCTGAAAAATGATACCTGGGTGCTCGTCGATCGTCCCCGAGGACAAGAAACCATCGGCAGTCGAGTCGTCCTACGAAATAAGTTGAAATCAGACGGGACACTCGCGAGAAGAAAAGCTCCCCTGGTAGCACAGGGCTTTAGCCAACGCCCTCGTGTCCACTTTACCCAAACATTTGCCCCGGTTGCCCGTTTCTCATCAATCAGGTTCATAGCCTCCTTAGCGGCTCGATATGGAATGCGTATCAGGCAATTCGACGTTGCTACTGCGTACCAAAACGGCGAACTTGAGGAGGCGGTGAACATGGAGCTGCCCAAGAATTTCGAAGACATTTTAGCTGACATCCTGGAGTCCGATTGCGATAGTGCGGTTAAAGAAAAGGC